TTTTGCAGTTCTAACACAGGGGAAGGGACCTGCTTCTGCTGCTGGAGGAGAGCCCGGACAGTGACCAGGATATTTGGTGTGACACTTTTTGCGATGGTGTCACAGCTTGTCACGTCCGCGACGCGTTCGGACGCGTCGTTAATTGCTCTTTACTGCCAGAAAACCTACGGCGTGCTACGTTCATATTCACGCGTCACTTGATTCATAAAAGTTAATCTATATCAACGAGCGGATGCAATGTTGGTTGTACATTTTTGTTAAATGTACTTGCGGTCTCATTACCTCTATCTAATGAACTTGATGTTGGGAAATTCGGAAATTCAGAACCAACGTTGCATCTTCTGTATCATGACATCCCTGCCGGTACATTTAATATGCGTGATTTCAACATGCGGCAGGCTCTATGAAGGCGGGGGATTTGCGACCACTTTCTTGCAGAGTCCAAACAGATGCAAACAACTCGCCGCGCGACCCGGAATTGCGCCTCCCCACTGGTCTGTGGCAGCGACAGGCCTAGGATTGAATCCCAACCAGAGCAGGTCCGGAAGGCAAAAGTGATGCGCCCGAGTCTAAAGACTTCAAACGGACAGGACGACAGGACAACTTGATGCCGATGAGTCCAGGCTAATTCCTGGGCAACCTGACGACATTTGAAGTCACAGAGCGAATACCGCAGCAGCACTTGTGGCGACGACGACGAGCTATGCATGCGGTTATATTTATGCGGGGCAGCCTGAGGCTCATTGAACATGTCGCGTCTGGAAACAAAAACGATTTGGAGCGGCGTAGGGGCCCAAGCAGCAACTCTATCGGGACGGTTCATAATACCGCTATTATACCATGTGCATGAACACCCATCCATGGTATGACAAGATATGAGGAATAATTCTGGATATAGGCGTTGGGAGAAGTCCATACGCTACTGCAACAGTCAGATTCTGTTGTGGGGAGCTTATTCGGTCCTCCTGGGTCCCTTGCTAGACGCACTCATACTCTCGGATGTCTTGTCGGAACGCTGGGCCCTGTTCTCTCTCCGACGTCTTCTCTCATCTCTCAGAGCTCGGGCTGGCACCTCTGCAGGTTGCAAGAACGAGGAGAGGGCGACCTTGCAGTTTGTGACTATTTCTCCACGGTGTTGATACTTTTTGCCACCCGAACTGACGCTTTCTGTACGCGACAGACCAAGCTGCGTGGTACAGAGGACCTGGGTATCGCTCGAGTAATCCTGCTGCCCAGACTCATCTCCGCCGTCCTCATCCATGCACTGGGGATTGAACGGCTGGCCTTGAGGAGCTGTTACCACTTCCAAATCGCAGGACGTGATCTCCTCCCCAAGTGTGTTCCGTATGCGAAGCGCGAATCGGATTATCTCGCTGAGGCTCTTAAATACCGTCCCTTTTGTCGAACTGAGGGCTTCAAGGCTGACGCATCCGGTCAACGCGTATACCTGCAGTACGTCCGACGTGACGAGAGGAAGATAGTGGTCATATTCCGCCTGACCGCCTTCATCCCACTGTCTCATGTGTCCTCGAGCCAAGGAGCGCCAACGTCCTGCGACAGCTTGGACCTCTATTGCGCGTAATATCAGGTATGTTCGAGTGTAGAGATGACAAGGACACAGACCATGTGCTCTGATGGTGTCGTAAATGGCGCGGCATTCCCGACCCTCCTTGACCCCTTTACTCTGTGAGCGCGAGCATGGCCACCTGCTGATTATCTCCCTGCAGCAACCGCATATGACGCCTTGGATCGCAATTTGCAGGATTGATATGTCCTGAGTCGTAGCCAGAGCGTCGTACAGGTCCTTCGCCAGCCATCGCTGCAGGACAGCCTGCGCGCTCTGTGCTTCCGCTCCTAATCCCCCCGCTCGAATGCTCAGATCAACGAGCTCCGCTAATTTGGCAGCGGTCTGGAATATATCCGTGTTCAGATCGCCAACCATGCTCCTGACCTCTGCCACCGATAATGTATCTGCCTTCGTGAGGAACGTCTGCGCGGCCTGCGATTCGGCTGTGCGGGCTGTGAGTAGCTTCGCTTGGTCTTGCCATTGCCGTTCCAGCGATGCATACCGCGCCTGGAGTTCTTCGAAGGACCGATTCCGCTGGGCAAGAGCAGCTTTCAATCCGTCGGCGCGCCGCTGCGCCTCGTCCAGTCGCGCTTTCCAGTGCTCGTCTCGCTGACGCATCTCATTCTCGACTTCTCTGTTCTTGTTGGCCAGGTGCCCCCGCCACTTCCTATCATCTCCCTTCAAGTCTTCTAAGGATCGACTTGCCTTCACTACTGTGTGCGTCTGTCGCTCTCTCGCTACCGGCGCGCTTTCGTCTGAAATGTGCCTCGTCCCAAATTGCAAAACGTCAAAGAAGCCCATTACAACGATTGCAGCGATACCTGCAGTCCAAGTGTCGAGTCCGTGGTCACAGGCGAGAATGCATGGCATGTCTTTCAAGATTCGGTCAGAATACCATTAAGCCGAGGGGTTATATGAACATCACGCTGTATGTGGTAATAGAATGCGCCTATCCATGTCCTCGGTCCAACTTTACATTCAGAGCTGCGGATGCTGCCTCGAAGCCCGATACGGGGCCCTGTATATACTCGCCATGAGGCAAGTTCACGGCAGCGCTTCGCAGAATGAACGATAAGGCGTCCCCGTCGAACCTTGGAAGGTAGAGTCGCTCCCTCCCTACCTGCTATGGCGAACTCTCAGCTTCGACAGGCGTACCGCGGTTCCACGCGAAAACTTGTGATTGCTCTTGATATCGGTACGACGTGTAGTGGGGTGTCGTACAGTATCCTGGACCCCGGTCTTGTTCCGCAGATCTGGACGGTAACCACGTATGGAGCACGGTGTCATTGTCATGTTGCTGCAGTTGATTCCAAGCTCAGATATCCCGGCCAGAAGAATTCCGGAGGGGATTCCAAGGTTCCGTCGGTCCTATACTATGATGCCAATGGCGTTGTCCAAGCGGTCGGCCAAGAAGCGGAAAATCTGTTCGAGATGCTTGAAAGCCGGGAAGCCGAGGATAACAACTGGATAAGAGTCGAATGGTAAGGAATTCATGAAACCAATTCTCCTCACTGTCAGTTTTAGCCTCACATGTTCAGGTTTAAGCTCCATTTGCGACCGAAGGAGATGAATGCAGCCCACATCACAGATTACAGTATTCCCCCGTTGCCTGCGAACAAGACAGTAATGGATGTATTCGCCGACTTCCTCTCATACCTGTTCAAGTGTGCGAAGGACTATATTAGTACGGCACACGGCGCCGGCGAGACACTCCTCGAGTCATTAGAAGGTAGCATTCATTTTGTGATGGGCCACCCAAACGGCTGGGGTGGCTTGCAGCAGCAGAAGATGCGCAAGGCTGCGGTGCAAGCCGGGCTTGTGAAGAACATGGATGCGGCTTGCGACAGGATACAGTTCGTGACTGAGGGAGAAGCCAGTCTTCATTACTGCCTCGAGAATGGACTGTCCGCCGAGAAGATGAAGGTTTGCTTCAGTTATCATGGTATTGCGAATCCCACTGATGAAACTACGTAGGCCGGTAATAAGATCATGATTGTGGATGCAGGAGGTGGGACCATTGACCTTAGCTCCTACCTAATCAAGGAGGTACGGCCGATGAAAGTAGAGGAAGTCGCTTCGCCCGGCTGTACGGACTGGTGATGGCCTTGTCGTCCATTCGTAGAGCTAACCGGTGCGGAACCCAGGTCGTCTGCAAGGCTCGATATTCGTCAACCAAAGGGCATCGACCTTCTTATACGGTAGGATTAGCTGATCTGAATATTTGTCACTCGTCTTACCGGTATGAACAGATAAGCTCAAGGGCTCCATCTATGATGATCCGCAGGACATTCAAACGATAGTGCAACGTTTCGAGGAAGGCGTGAAACGTAGATTCAAGTCGTCCAGCGAGCCTGCACATATCAAGTTTGGGACGCGGAGCGACAATGAACCGGAGTTCGGAATCTCGAGGGGTGTCCTGAAGCTGTCTGGGTATGTATATAATTCATGTGATGGGTTTCGCTATTTACGACCTACCTTGCCGGATAGCGAAGACGTGGCCGATTTTTTCGGCCCCTCTTTGGACGCCATACTCGAGGCTATCCGAGAACAGCGGCAAGCCGGGGGTGATATCAAAGTACGTCTCGTGCTACTCCATAGGCTCTGTGCTGAGGATAGTGACAGACGGTTTTCTTTGTCGGAGGTTTCGCTGCCAGCGACTATTTGTTCAATACACTGCGCACGAAGCTAGCAGGCACTGGCATCGAGATCTCTCGCCCTGATGGCTACACGTGAGTGTACACCCAATCGTCCGAGCCCCTCACGTCAAAGTTATCATAGTATTGACACTGTTATGTACGCTTGCAGAAACAAAGCCGTCGCTGATGGTGCCGTCAGTTTCTTCATGGATCAGGCCGTCTCAACCCGCGTGGTCCGGATGACGTATGGTATCAAGGGCATTAGAAACTATGATTCTACAGAGGGGGAGCATGTACGGCGATTCGGAGAAACTTACTTGTCCCTTTCTGGGGTGCGCATGGTTCGATGCGCATTTCACAACATAGTCTCGAAAGTACGCCATCTTATCTGGATGACTTGCTGACTCCTGAGATTTGGATGATTTCTAGGGAAGCACCGTGGATGCAGGACAAGAGTATGAATCGCATTTCTTCAGGGAGTTGAGTGAGCGCCCCACGCGAGTTGAGACAGACATCGTCACCTACAATGGTAATGTAACTCAGCCCAAATGGACGGATGTCGATTTCGGTGAGCATAGCAGAGTATTTGCATAGGAAACAGTACTTGACTACTGTTCCAGCATCCTACCATACACTCTGCACTGTATCTGCCGACGTGTCTGAAATTGCGCAGAAGCTGCCCCCGAAAGGCCCTAAAAAGCGCAGATATTATAGATTTGACTTCAAGATTGTACTGCAGTTTGGGCTCACGGAGCTCAAGGCTCAAATTGCCTGGACGGAGAATGTCAGTACCACCCTCAATGCCATCCCTTCATGATTACTTATGATCAATTCACCTGTTCGTTTTCTCCAGGGCAAAGAAAGGAGGTAAGTGCCTCTCTCTTCCTCTTGATCACCAGTTTTCTTCAGCTCGGTTATCAGGAGTCCTGCGTCCATCGCGTATCTAGGAGACGACTAGGTTCATATCAACCTTTACCCCCACGACCGTATTCCCGATGCGTGCCTCCGCAACATCGCCTACACCTTTGTGTCCGGCCGGTGCTCTTCTAGTCTCTCATATGGACGTACTCACCATTGGGCAGTCTTAATGTAGTCGTAAACAACCCATGCAGTGGTGTAGTACATTGTATTTCTAATAGGCACCCACTAAGTGGTTTATCTGACATGGTGGTCTGAGCTCGACTTGGCGTAAACTAGTCCCAGTTTATCGTTGCAGTTGCGGTTGATAAACAGCAAAGTCCGACCCCAAGGGAACAGTACGACGCCGCAAACCAGATTATAATCCTACATACAGAGCAAAACGCATCCCCACCCAGTATTTTCTAATGTGCTTGATTCTGAAGGAGATAGTGCAGTATTTCCAAGCAGCCCATATTCATAATGTGGCCAGATTTTCAGACATCTCTTGCCGAGTTCTGGCTCTCTGGTTGACTCTGATACTGTGCTTGCGTCTGCAGCTGGAAATGCAGCGGCAGGCTCGCTTGAGTGTCGCCTCCACCCAGCGACGCCTGGCTGTCTGAATCCGAGCCTGCAGCATGATCAAACCGCGTCTCCGCGCCCGGCGACCGGTTCTTCTCCTTCTCCAAAGCAGACGACGCGGCAGTAGACTGCGACGGAGTCGAGGCCCCCGACTCGCTCCCACTCGCTTGTAGGTGTACTTGCGGATGCGGATGGTCGTGGCGGTGATTATGGTGGACGTGGTGGACGTGGATCACAGGCCGCTCGCCCGACGCAGAGCCGGGCCTGGGCGACGAGCCCTTTTGCCTGCCGTTCGCATCCGTTGACGGCGCCGGCCCAGGAGATATGCGCACGGTGTGCGAGCGGAAGGGGAAGAACGGGGACGGGTGGTGCGGGTGCGAGTGCGCGTGGACATGCACCCGCCCTGACGGTGTCTTATGCGCGTTCTGTGCGCTCGGCGGCGTGCTGTTCCCGTGTGGTTGCGATGCCTGGGAAAATGAGAGGTAAGGGTGAGTTTGGTACCATGCCTGGGGGCGCGGCGGTGTAGGCGAGAAAGTGGTGGACTGCGAAGACTGCAGAGTCTGGGATACACCTGAAAGGGTCTGCAGGACCGCGTCCGCGGGTCGCGCTTCGGGCTGCAATGACGTCTGTTGGATTTCCAGGTCCTGGGTCAGCTGGCTCTCGACGTCCTGCGACGAAGTTGTACTGGATACCACAGATATCGAGAGTGCGTCGGATCTGACATTCTGCGACGGAGCTATGGATAAAACTCCCGTCGTGGTATAAGCAGCGGACTGCGACGCCGACCCTTCAGTGGACTGAGCTTCCCTCGCGCTGCTCCACAGATCAGCTGCCACAGTGGACGAGTCCAAAGTATCTACATCCATCGCCTCTGGCGAGGGACCTGCATGAGGCTGATCGACCCTGGGCGAGCCGGGGGCATGTACTTCGGGATCGTCTGTCCTGGGTCGTTTTGCAGCCTTGGGTACTGGTGACCCGTGTATTCGGCTCGACAAACTGTCTTCAGAAAGATCGTTGATAGCATTCGCGACCAGGTTCGCCAGGGCTGGTGACTCTGAGACAGAAGGCGTCGACGCAGTCTCCGCCGGGGATGATTGAGCACCATAGTAGTTGAAGGACGGTCTGGGAGACCGCTGGGCTTGGGAGGATCGAGGGGGGGTGCTGGGGGGAGGCGTTAGCGCTGGCGAGTGGTAAGCGCGGGATGGGGAGGGCGTGCGGAAGGTCACCGCCGGGGATTCGAACGATCGGGCAGGGGTTGTCGCATTTCGGACGGAAGGGGACTTTGCGGGCCCACTGCTCGCAAGGAGACTATCTGCAGGCAATAGCATGAGCACTGCCAGGCAGAGCAGATGCCCAGACGCATATATCTCGGCGAAAGCATCCCCGCATGAAGCGTACATACCTGTAGCAGTACCGTCGCCCTCCTCCGCTCTCCTTATGAGAGGCACCTCCTTCCTCTTCACCGGCCGGGCAGTCTTGATGTGAGAGTCGACGACATGGTCGACAAGCGACGTGTGGGTCGCGAACGTGGCGCGGCACCAGTCCCACCGGCACGCAAAGCTCGAGGACTGGAGGGTCGGGCTCTGCGTCATTTTCCTTGCCTTTCTGCCTGGTCTCTGTCGAGCTCACGTCTCGCCACAGCGTTCAGGAGTTGGGGGCGACAGAAAGGCAGCAAAGACTGGAGCAGGATGGGAGGGCTATCTGCGACTGGCCTCACGGGCCAGACCGATCTGGAGTCCGACGCAGAGACAGGCTACACGTTCGTTCTATCGCTCAGACTCACCGACGGCGCTAGACAGTGTTCTGGGCGGGCGGTCTAAGCTATGCATCCAGTCGGCCAGCACTGTGTTCTGTTACGCCGACCCGCAAGACGGTTTGCTGAACCGCGAGAAATAGATGAGTGCGAAGTCAAGGCTGCGTTCTCAGAAGTACCAGCTCGCACTTGCGCACAGCACGTCTCAGGCTTTGGTAAAGGCTGAGATATATGCCATACATATACGCTGGACTACTGCATAGTATGATACGTCGAGAATGTCGTATCGCGAATCGGATCCAGTCCGTATTTTTCGAGAAACAAGAAATTGGCGAAAGCATACTCGAGCTGTCCTACCTCCTCCTGCAGCGAAACGGTACTCAATCTTCCGTACCTCCCTTGGCTAAATTTGTCTCCTCAGACCGCTGCCATCTTCGAGCCCTTGCGGTCGCTCCGACGTCTCCTCTGTTGTCGCTGTGCCTCCGTTGGCGCCTCTGAAGGCTGGAAGAGCGACGGCAAAGCCACCTTGCATTTGGCCACCACCTCTTGGCTGAAGTGTTCGCTTGCGCCTTCCAAACCTATCTTCTCGGTGCGGAGCAGTCCCAGTTCTGTCGTGCAAAGCGTGCGGGATTCGCTTCCGTAGGCCTGCTCCCCGAAGGGGTCTCCTCCCTCCTCGTCCATCCATTGCAGGTCCAGCAGATGGCCCGGACTAGCTACCACGGTGGCGAAGTCGCATGAAGTAATATCTTCCCCCAGAACGTTCCGCAAGCCAAGAGCTAGCTTGATAATTCCTTCCAGGCTGTCGGATATGGCTTGACCGAGTTCTGGGGCGAGAACGCACCCCGTTGCTACATTCACGAGGTAGACTTCGTGGGACGCATAGGATACAAAATCTCTACGCTCGGTGTTTCCGCCTTTATCCCATTCTCGCTGGTATCGTCGGGAGAGGGAGCGCCAGCGACCTGCGACAGCCTGGGGCTCTGTTGGAGCTGTTTCAGCTACGCTCGCGTTCTAAGGCTGTGACAGTATTCACCTTGGTTCCTGATCTTCTCATAAAGGTCTTCGTATCCAGAGCTCGGGACCATTCGATTTTTCTCGAGAACGAGCGGCCATCCGCCGATTATTTCATGGCAGCAGCCGCATATGACGCCCTGAATCGCAGCTTGCAGGACAGACGAGTCCTGCGTGTCACTCACAGCTTCCAGGAGCTCCGGCGCCAGCCAGTTTTGCAGTGCATCCTGCACCGCCGGCGCTGCCGCCACCGAGTCATCGGGCCGGTAGCTCAAGTCGATGGCGTCGGCCAGCTTGGCAGCTGTCTGGAATATGTCTGTGTTGAGGTCTCTGAGCATATTCCTGACCTCCGCGGCGGACAATGCGTCGGTTTTCCCGAGGAACACCTGGGCGGCTTGTAGCTCGGCCGTGCGTGCTTCGAGGAGCTGGCCTTGCTCGTCCTTCTGTTTCGTGAGCATTGCATATTGCGTGCGAAGTTCGTCTATGGTGCGTCGCTGGTGGGCAAGGTCGTTCTTCAGATGTTCCACTTCTTGCTCTTTCTCCTGCCATTGCCTTCGCCGAGCAGACTCAAGCTCTCTCCGTCTCTGCTGCTCTTCCTTGATCTCTTTGTCCTTGTTATTCAGCGCTCGCTTCAACTTTCGTATCTCGTGATCCGCTCGCGCTGAGCGGTGGTCGCGTTCCCGGGCTTCTTCTGCATAGTCCTCCCGCACTCTCGTGCTGCCGCCTTCAACACTATTGCTCCTCCCAACCCGGGGAATCCAGGATGAAAAATTTGAGACCCAACTCATGATGAAGACCACTGCACCGACAGCGCCAATTGCAAGTTTAGGAAGGCGACTAAGAATTCCTAGCATCTTCGTTCAAGACAGGGTGCGACAAACCCTGACGCCGAGTGGGTGTGACTTTGCCCCAAGAACGAGGAGCATCAGCATGTTGCAGTAGCATGTCCACCCTGTATTTGGCATTGCAGTCTACTGAGCCATGTCTCTGGCGTCGATTAAGTTCGAGCCTGCGGATGCTGCGTCGAAGTCCAACACGAGGGGTCCTCCCACCCGACATGAGGCAGAACGCTTTGCTTCGGCAACTTTGATTATAAACAAACGGTTCACGAACGGGGACGGTCAATAACCCCCTCATTCCTACCATGGCCAACGCTCAGTTTCGCAAGCCCTATGGCGGTTCCACTCGTAAACTCGTGGTCGCGCTCGATGTCGGCACGACGTGCAGTGGCGTCTCGTACAGTATTCTCGATCCCGGGATCGTCCCTCAGATATTGACCGTGACTACGTGCGATTTGTCAATCAGGAGAGGTTTGAAATACTGACCATGCCCTTAGATATCCCGGCCAAACTAGCTCGGGAGGGGACTCTAAAGTCCCTTCCGTCTTATACTACGACGCCGATGGTGTTCTACAAGCCGCTGGTCAAGAGGCGGAGAATTTGCGTGAAAGTGGGGAAGCCGAGGACAATGAGTGGATCAGAGTAGAATGGTGGGCATCTTGCGCTTGCCTACAACTGATCTGACTGTATCGCGGGCAGGTTCAAGCTTCATCTGCGGCCGAAGGAGATGAATGCTTCGCATGTAAAAGACGGCGATATACCTCCGCTTCCCGCCAACAAGACCGTCGTGGACGTGTTCGCCGATTTCCTCGCGTATCTATTCCAGTGCGTGAAGAACTATATCAGCACCGCACACGCTGCCGGCGAGACTCTCCTACAATCCCTCCAGGGCAGTATCGACTTTGTCATGGGTCACCCCAACGGATGGGGCGGTCTTCAGCAGCAGAAGATGCGTCAGGCAGCTGTAAAGGCGGGTCTCGTTCCCAACGTAGACGCTGCTCGCCGAAGAGTACAGTTTGTCACGGAAGGAGAAGCGAGCCTGTACTACTGTCTCGAGAACGGGTTGTCCTCTGAGACACTGAAGGTGAGCTTCAATCGCGAGGATACCTGGCTGTGACTAATGGATTCTGCCTCACAGATTGGGAACAAGATCATGATTGTAGACGCTGGAGGGGGAACAGTTGACCTTAGTTCCTACTGCATCAAAGATCTACGACCGCTGACAGTAGCGGAGGTGGCTGCACCGGGGTGTACGTGATCATACGCTATATCGTGTGTCTTTCATCTTATCAATACCCCTCACAGGTCGCATGCAAGGCTCGGTCTTCGTTAACCAACGGGCGTCTGCATATCTCTTCGGTGAGGATCAGCGACATCCACATCATGCACGACTCGTCTTATCAGCGGATAGAGAAGCTCAAAGGCTCAATTTATGACGATCCACAAGACATCGAGAACATAGTGAGGTGTTTCGAGAACACGGTCAAGCGTAGGTTCAAGGCAGCCACTGAACCCGCATCCATCCGGTTTGGCTCGCGCAACGACAATGAGCCCGACTTCGGAATATCGAAGGGCATCCTCAAGCTGACTGGGTATGTGCATTGTAGTAGATGTCCTTCGCTATTGCTTCTCAACAACGACATGTTGATTAGGAAAGAAGTGTCGAGTTTCTTTGACCCCTCGCTAAATGCTATAATGGACGCCATTCAGGAGCAATGGCGGGCCGGGGAACATGTCGATGTACGTGCCTGGTTTCGTCGGTTTTGTTATATAATGCCAGAGGTCCAGCACAGACAATACTCTTCGTTGGAGGTTTTGCTGCCAGCGACTATCTGTTCAACAGTTTACGCCGAGAACTGTCAGGCGCTGGCACCGAAATCTCCCGCCCCGACGGATACACGTAAGTGAACAGAGTGGCACTATTGTTTGTGATAGGAGCCGTGACGATGGTACTGACTGGTTACACCAGGAACAAAGCGGTCGCTAACGGCGCGGTGGGTTTCTACGTAGATCGGATCGTATCCACACGCGTGGTGCCGACTACCTACGGCACTGATGGCGCCACTTTATACGATGCTAGCAACCCGGAGCATGTATTGCGATCCGAAAGTGTCTACACGGACCCCGCTGGAGATAGAATGGTACCCAATAGGTTTTTTACCATTGTCTCGAATGTAAACCGGGTGATATCGCCGGTCCTCCGTATCTGACATCAGATGTTACTTCTAGGGAACCACAGTTCATGCGGAGAAGGAGTATACAATTAAAATGCATCAATTATGGCAAAACCTTGGTGGAAAAGAGTTTACGGTGGAGGCGGATGTCATGTCCTACAGTGGTACTAGTGTCAATCCCCAGTGGACGGACGTCGAGTCTGGTGAGTCGTAGCACGTGTCGAAAACGGGTCTTATCGACGGGCTACTCCTAGGATCATACCATAAACTCTGCACCATCTCTTCAGAGGTTTCCGAAGCTATTAAAGCACTGCAGCCAAGGCGGGGCAATGGACGCAGGACATATTACCAGCTGGGCTTCAATGTCGTATTGCAATTTGGATCCACAGAGCTCAAAGCTCAGATATCCTGGATGGAGAACGTAAGTACTCACCGTAAATTTACTACCGCTTAGGAAGTGCCACTTAACGACTATTCACGTATGTCGGGTTTTGAAGGGTACGGAAAAGAAGTACTATGGCTGGTCTATCTGCTCCATCACTCTACTAACTAGGCGTATAGGAGTCCTGCATCCATTGTTTATCTGGGAGACGACTAGACTCGTACTATGCTGGTACTGCCGATGGACTGGAGGACGCTCGCCTTGGCAATTTATTGGTTCATCTACTTGTACTGACCGGTCCTATATGTCTATTCCCAATTTGTCGTGCACCTTCTGTTGGTTGTATGTCACTATTCTCAGAGGCTTTACATGCGATAACGCTTGTCTGCCGAAGTCCTCGCCAGGGACAGAATGAAGCAGATAGTAAGCGTACCTAGCATCAACATTGAGCGCGCAGGCAGCGTTCTACTACTAGGACCCTAGTATGTCTTTGCGGAGCTTTATGGTAATCTGGCCTCCGGCAGAGTAAGTACTTGTGCATAGACTTACGTCGCTCTAACCAATTCGATACCACTATCGATACAACGGCTCTTCTGACACAGATCGTACGCAACCTCCTCATATAACAGCACGTAGCATGCGCACACCAGTTTCCGGGCCTCTCAATGGACTCTCATGGACAACAACATCGCGGACAATTCGCAGATGCGCAAGTAAATCCTTCCGAACTCCGACTCATATCCCAGATCACATAGCAGCTCGAGGATCTTGTTCACAGACGATCGCACAGGTTCAAAGCTTCATGATCAAGACATCCGAATCACCATAATGAATACGAATCTCACCGCTCAAGGTATTGATCTGCCAACAGAACTCGTATGTTCCATTTTGAAGCTCGCAGCGTACTCGTCAAAAGAGAACGATTTATTGATATCGCAGATATGTTCGTGGGCGAGAGAACTGGCGGTGACGCCCCTCTTTACGACTCTCATTCTGCACTGCCGGGCACTAGCACCCGACAATGGCTTACCTACAAATATCGGTAGGGTGCATAATTTGTGGATCCAGAGAGGCGCAGAGTACAGCGGATGGAAGGTCGCCATCCCATTCTTCCTCGCTATGCCACAGGTAACCAATCTCGCTCTGTGGGGTCCCTACATGTGGCCCCTCCTAGATGCTCTCACAACCACGGGCATGCCTCCCGCAGGTGGCGGCAGCGAGTCTGAGCGACGTGGAGACCAGCGGCCTCTTGCCAGCGGAGTAGATACCACACGCTTTCCCTGTCGCTCTCTCCACACCTTCGATTTTGTCCCCCGCCACGACTTTCAGTACATGGTCCGAGTTGCCCATCGGTCGACACTTCCTGCGGGGCCTCTCGCATCTGCGTCTCGAGAACTGTCAGATGTCACCGTGGATACCGGTGAGGTATCTCACCAACATCACGCACTTGGCAGTGCCCGGCCAGGACCTGAGCGAGCAGTTGATTCTCTACGAAATGCTGGATGCCATGCTCAAGCTGCGGGCCCTGCAGATACTGGTCGTGGTACTCCCTATGCCGCCCGAAGGCGGTCCCTTGCCTGATCTGTGTCGTGACATCGCCGAGGAGTACGACCCGTCCGGACGTGTCCATTTTGCCTTCCGAAGTGAGCGCCTTACCCCGGCAGAGTGGCAGGATGATATCAGCATGGGAGATAGAAGTATTTGGACCAGCAGCATTCCGCTCCGCGAGATGCTGGGCGGATCCCTGTCAGTGCAGGATCTTAGGGCGCACATGCACACACCGTCCGGACAACAATGAACTGCACCCTTTTCCTGGGAGGCTTGTCTTGAGTTTCCCAGTACTGTGGATCACCCTGGCTGTTGAATTCGGAGTCCATCATGTTCTCTCGTCATTGCTCTGGTTGGAAATCGTCTATGCACCACTCATTCTCGTATATCTCAACCGCTGGGTAGCCTGCAAGAAGCATGCATTCTTCCCTTCCTTCCTGTCTTGTGGCTCAGCCGTAAGTACATAGTTACAGGTGGATATGTCAGGCACTGCAATAGCTTTCTCCCCGAATACATACGCGTGTATACTCTCAGTCAGTGCGCCGGCAAAACGAGACCACTGTGGAGGTCGCGGTTGGCGCCCAAATGCGCCCACGGCTCTTTCCGCCTTGACTTCGACCTTCACGACACGCAGTGCGCACCCAGGAGGCCTCGGAACTATGCCTTGATCAACTGCCTTACACATACCCGCTCACCGGGACCAGTGATACCACTCTGTCTGCGCTCATGAGCAATTATCTCAGCAGCCTGATTATCGAATGCCGCCTCCACGAGCTCGTGGCAAGCCGGTTCTGGACCGTCCGACCAGAAGGCTCCAACCGCATGGCTGCCGGCGGGAATGGCGGTGGTCCACTGAAGGGGCACATTCACGAGGCGACGAAGGAAAATATACTACTATCATTTGGGTAGTTTTGCAAAACTCTCTGTAAATCGACGTGTTGCGGCCAATTCGCTAGCTCTTGCGCCAAAACGTTTTTGTGGCATCGTGTAGCACCCTTTTATGTACCCAACTGTGATTTTTTTGTATTTTAATTCATGGTGTAGAGGATGCTGGACAGATGCCGGGGTGTGCAGGGGGTTTTGCAAAAGTTTGTCACGCGTGACATCCCCGCGAGATTCATCACGTTTTTGTCACGATCCGCCTCTCGGCGTTTTGCAAAACAGGTTTGCTATAGCTACATTCTCTATCTCTCCACAATCGGGCTGCTTAGGTAGCTCAATGTATGGTACACCAGTATAGTCCAAACAAAATCCCGGCAAAAAATCATGGAATGGGTACCAGATCTAGGTTTCACACGGTCTGTAGGCAGTTGCAAACACCCTCCTCTTCCTCCCTCTCCATGACCACTCGATATTTCCCTAAACCAACTTCACAGAGGGTATCTACTAGTCTATATCTACACGCCTAAGAAGTCTCTGAATTTTTTTATTTGGTATAGAGCTCTCTCTAGGGGCTGCGGTAGTTTTGCAAATTTTGCAAAACTACCCAAATGATAGTACGGTCTATAGGAGCGCTCTCCATATTCATGGATCAAAACCATCGATGTGATCCTGAAGACGGATATGTATGCTCCGTCGCCGAGGCCAGATGCTTTCGTCCGTGAAATCGACGCCTATGAACGAGCTTTCCGGGGATTTCAGGGCTATTCCATCCCTAGATGCAGCGATGCTACGGGCTATATCAAGCTCGGATTGACGATGAAGAGGTGCCGAGCTTGTCTCCTTCGTTGTTCTCCAATACGCTCGGAATCCTATCGATTTTCAAGGATGCAATGATTATGAACCGGAATTCAAGTGTGTTCTCACCTGTATCTTGCTGCGTTTGTCCTCTATGCTGAGCGTCATTCTAGGGTGGACGTCGTGAACAAACTATACCAACTGCACCGTTTTGGCTTTATGCACGGCGACTTCGATGATCGCAATATACTCATGAACGACGGGAAAGCTATGTTCATTGATCTAGAGGATGTGAAGCCGCACAACTGCCAGATGAATCATGCCATTATTTTCGACGACCTTCAGCCTAGACAAGCGGATTTCGGATGTCGCGAAATCCATCATGTAGTAACGATGCAGGATGTGTGGCAAAGACGTGCGTAGGCGCCCTTTTTCATGTGGTAGTTTGACGTACTCATTGTCCTCAGTTTGTCGATTTCTATGGAACCATCGTCTACCTTTCGGAAATTAGGCCTGGGGCAGAGGAGCATCTCCTCTCGCACTTGCGCTGGCGCTTGCTAACGAACGGAGAATGGGAGCGAGCCCTCCGGTATGCCACGGGATCAATCGACTGTGTAGGGAGGAAGTGGTGCAACACCATCACAGATGAAGAACACCCATAATCTCAAGCTAGGTCGAAGCTTATGCCCACCGGATGTGGATATTTTGGGCGGCGCCTCTGCTGGCTCTGACTCGTCGGACGGTGAAATTGTCTGTACAATAAAGCTTTCACTTTTACTGACTCTCATGTCACTCTTGAGGCAGAACCACGTACAGGTACTCGAGTTGTTTTTTGTCTTGACGGGTTTGACGCTTTATGTCCGGCATCTGGTACTCCTCATCTCCCGGTCTTCATCGCCTTGGTCTCCTGTAAAATGTAGCTCGTGACTGTATTTGTTGCTGTCGCAACCCACCCCTACTACGCCAAGGTAGCCGACCAATAATGCTGCCTTATGAAGAGGAGTTCACCATCAAGCATCATCATCATCTATGGTTGTAAACACACAGGCCTAGGGTTTCGGTAGCCAAAGCTGGGGTCAGTCCCTGAACGACTCGGTTTGGATATCGCAAAGTAACGAGGCATCCATGTCATGTCTTGCTGGGTCGTATAGTAAATGCAGACTTCGGTAAAATACGTATTACAATGATATGCAGCTGGTATATCGAGAGGGAAGGATATAAAAATGCGACGACGAGGCCATGCAAGTCGTGGTAAAGATCTAAACAGAACGACACGATCGTGGCGCGACAGTGACCAGTGAAACACCGTATGGAAACAGAGCAGCGGCGATAGCAATGCGATGTGAACACGAAGGGGGGGGGCCGTATTGGCGGGAGGGGAAAGCCCCGCTGTGGTTACGGCATCCAGAGGCGTACTGTCTGGTCCACACTGCCCGTGGCGACCACATTGACGCGCTTTGCATCCTCATCTGTCGCACCCGACGCGGCAGCGCCGTCCGACTGCTGCTGCACGCGCGGGCCCCATGCGATGCATGTGACGAAATGCGAGTGTGCCTCGATCGTCTTCATACAACGCCCCGTCGAGAGCTCCCAGACACGCACTGTCTTGTCGTCGGAGGCGGATAATAAGAATTTGCCTGAGGGATGGAATTCTAAGCCTCGTATCCAGTCGTTGTGGCCCGCCTAGAAAAAGGATCAGGTAAAACATGAAGACAAGGTGAACAACGAGAGGACGACAGACCAAGGCCTTCAATTCTCGCCCGTTGGCGGTATCCCATAATCTTATGGTCTTGTCTCGAGAACCGGTGGCGATGTACGCACCGGGACCTTTCGGAACAGACTGCGAACGCTGAGATGTCACGGGGAAACGCGTAAAAAGAGAACGTACAGTAAGACCTGCTAGCGTGCCCAGGTCTGCATAAGCAGCGATAGGAGCAAATGCGACCACCTCAACATTATGCTCGTGGCCTCTAAGTTCCGTCTTCATTGCTCCTGACTTTGCATCCCATATACGCGCAGTCTGCAAATCGGACGTGAGACGTCGGTACGGGGTTAAAAAACGGCACGTGGTACGTTATCATTCGAGCAGCTCCCATAGAATTGTCCGTCAGATGAAGGTATGACCATTCGAACCCAGCTATCATGCCCCACAATGGTTCTAACACAGAAACTGCGAACTTGGGATCAGCATTGCAGCTACTGATGAATGAACGTGTAAACCCACGCAGTCGCTACTTCCCAAACGCGGATCGTCTTGTCTCGACTGGCACTAACAAGGAAGTCATCGCCGGGCACAAAGCGGATTGTGGACACAGTATGCTCGTGGCCTCTCAGCGTTTTTCCACTGTAGCCAGGGATATCCCATTCTTGGGTATCCCATACTCGGATGGTGAGATCGGACGAGCACGACGCTACAAACAGAAGCTGTAAGAACTTGGGGCTGCTAATAGCCACGATACGCACCAAGCAGGTTGCCCTTCGAGTCGAAATCGACTCCCCATACTTCCCTAGTGTGCCCTTTCAAAGTACGTTCAAAGGTGCCCGTCTCCCAGTCCCATATCTTCACGGTCGCATCCTCACTGGCCGATGCTAGAAGCGAAAATCGTGGATGGAACGCAACTCGGGTGATAGGGGAACGATGCCCAGTCAGGGTATAGCGAGCTGGCGCACGGGGCAACCAGTCACTTTGGGATGTGACGCGTCGCGCGGGGGCAGAGTTCAGTTCTTCTTGCAGTGCAGAATTTCGATTTTCCAGGTCCATGATCTGAACGCGCCGAACATCAGGTCGAGCTCGCTCATGATGATAGGTCGAAACGAGACGCACCTTCTTCTGTAAACGGATGACGCTCATCCACTTCTTCTCAAGCAGTCCCGCGTACTTTGACTTTGGGTCCGGCGAATACTCTAAACCAGTCTCATCTTTGAAAGCTGCTAACGCCTGCATGTGGTTCTGCGAATGAAGATACTCCATGATCGATTTATTGCTACCAAGACAACATTTAGCGCGTATGTCGTAAAGAAGCCGGCAGAGTGCCTCACAGTTCATCTTTATGTCTGTCCGATAGCAATGACATGGCCGGTCGTGAAGGGACGAGTGAGCTGCTGAAGAGACAACAGCGTTGCAGGCTTCAAGTCTCGTAGCGTAGCCACAATAGGGTCGACTAGACGGTCACGTGGAAACCACTGTGAGGTCACGTGGATGTGTAGCTCTAACCAAGGTCTGCTTAGAGTCTGAACTAAGCCACCACTATGGACGGCGTTAGTCTGCAGTCGCTGCCATACGATCTGCTGCTCAATGTTGCTCAACATCTCGAGCTAAGGGATATTCATGCTCTGCAGTCCGTAAGTCCGAGTCGCGTTGTAGTGCTTGAGGCTATCTGACCGCCGACATGTGGCAAAGTGCTGTAGGTCATTAAAAGATTTTGTGGCAACGCGTCCAGTCTTCCGCAGTCTGGCACATGGACTACTGCGCCGGTGCCGTGCACTCCCATTGCTGGGCTTCCAACGGATAAGCGATCTTTCGACAGAACAGCTGGTGTCTGCGGTGATTAAGGCGGATCGGCTGGAACGTGCGTGGATAACCAGGACGCCGAGACCCGCACCGTGCACCCCATATGACGACCCGAAGGTGTCCGTGGACGACTCGCACTCGAGATGCTGGTATAAAGTTGTGAGCGCGCCACCGGGTGAAGAAGTTGATTGGCTATCACCTATCACGTCAAGCTACACTCTGTGCGCGACTAAAAGTGGGAAGGTCATCTGCTGGGATGTCCAGCGGGACTGTGTCCTCGCCGAATGGGATCCTAGTCAACGGTGGGAGCTATGGAAGTGTAGGGTGGAGTTCGAGGAAAAGACAGTGTTCTTTGCAATGGCGAAGGTCGTGGAAGGCCAGTGAGTGCATCCATCCTTGACACCTGTACGGGTGACCTATCTTCCCGGTAATTGAGCTCACGTGTATCCTGCAGAGCCGAAGAAAGGGTAATGGAATTCATGCTCATGAAACTCCAGTTTCCATCCATCGGTGATGGGGAATCGGAGGCGAATACTCCCACATTCTCCGAAGTAACGAGGTTCAGAACCATTGGCATTGTTATGAATGTCTTCCTCTTGGATCCGTCTTCTAGGCTGCTAGCGGCCTTTGTCTGGGTTCCGGCCTCTAATTCCATCGGCCTGTACAGTCTGCTCGACTGGGGTGAACCCCGGTATGTCTTCATTGATACTGGAATCGAATGTGTGAGTCCCTTTGGGGTTATAAGTCGGCACGGGGCCACTGACGACCGTTCTCAGTCATTCTCTTCAAATTGGTCGTGCATATTCTACAATGAGAGTATAGTCATCCATGCCGAAGAGAGCGAGTCTGCTTTCCAGCACTTTTATCCAGTGTCACTGCTACAACAGCATTCTCAACCATTGACTCGCTCTAACTCCTTTGTTCCTTGTCTTAGCGGTCGCGTGCTGCCGGTATACACCATCAGCCAGCCCTTCATCTTCCCTCGCCGGAGTCCTGAATTATTAACGGAAGTAGAACTAGTACCAGACGATGTTGCTCCTGCAAGTGGCCAAACGACGGGGGCCACGGTCCAGATACAGATTCACGCACCTGGGGGAGATGCTCCGCCTGTAATGATTCCAGTGATGAACGGCTACGCTACCGGAAATCACGGTAGGTACGCTAATTCCTTGCCGCTGCGCTCGATACTCATGCCGATGTTTATGCAGACGACAGTCATCAAGAAAACGGTGACGCCACCACTGATCTACTCAACCCATATCCCTTTCCTCCATGGTATCCGGAAAGTGCACACTTTGTACGGCAATGGTGGCCGACGCTTCCGGACATACCGAGACTGAGCTGTACCGTGGTCCTTCTGGCATCGCACGACCCCGAGACCCACGAAGATTCCTACATATTAACTCAGCATTACTTCAAAGTGCCTCTGGATGACCACTCTAAAGAGTCGATTGACGAAGCTGGCTGCTCTTCATCCGGGGCATGTCCCAAATCGCGAAGACTACAAGGCGAAGGATTTTCGGATGCATGCGAAGAGGACATGATGCGCATGTGGTACGTCAGCAAGCCCTTCGAGGTGGTGGGCGTTCCGGAGGCGATGGAGGAAGACGAGGACGGCTTTCCCGGCGGCAGACGACGACCGCTTGTCGCCGTGGACTTTGGGCATGCTGCTTGGATCGAATACGTTCCGGACGAGGAGGGGGCGGCAGGCGAACCGCGCGCTACAAAGAGGTTGAGATTTGTTTCTTTTCCCCCGATCTCCGACGGGGGAACTCGGCTAAAGACTAGCCAGGGAAAAGGGAAGGGTAGGAATGATGAGGTGGAAGGACAGGTCCGGACGCTGGAAATACCGGAAGGGCTGAATTTGGACAGCGTCGAGACCATCAATATAGACCAGAGCCACGGGTCTATTATCCTTTCGGTCAGCGAGGGGAAGATTTTTATTGTATTTTATGAGTAGTGCGTACGTATATATGGTGTCGGGGTTGTGCTTCAGATTACGGTCATCACACTGGAAGGGACACAATGTAATGATTTCTAGGTGAGCGCTGGTATGTTCACTCTACGCAACAGATGTCAGCCCTAATGAATATCTTCCAGGATTAAGCTTGTTGATAATGCTCTGTAGAGACAGTATTGCCGTTTGCTGCTATGACCCTGTGCATTCTGCCGGGCCGGGCGAATGATGAAGAAGACTTCTTATGCCGCATGTCCACCATATTTATGATATCACGCCCGCCTTACCCCTTCTACACCTCCGCTTGATATAGACGACACTTCTGAAGGATATCAAGTGACCGTCAAGCCGTTCCCAATTGACATGCATCATCTACGATATATAAGCGCATCGGCCCCCTGGGTGGCCATTGCATGGGACACTTAGTCGCCATGAGGTTCCTCCACCGAGGACGGAGCGCAGTGCGATTCATGGTGATATTCAGCTTGCCATGCGTATTGGCGACTGGTCTGGTCCCGTTCACTTCCACAGTGGTACCAATTAGCGATTTGTTCAATAACGAAGCAGCTTCGGTCAATGGCGTAGGTGGTGACTTTGATGGAGTTGGCTCGAGCTACGATGCCACTTTGTTGCCTACGGGACAGTGGGCGTATGATGGGATCACGGTGCGTATCATATCTTTTCATTTGTTTGTACTGCTGTGGTCTAGCTTGCATCTAGTATCAATTGCCAGAGTTTTGGGGCAGCGGAAATGACAATGTCGTGACTCAAGGTCAGACAGTCAAATTGATGGAGCCTTTGCAATCGCATCAGATCCACATGTTATATGCTCTGGATGGATACGGAGGTAAGAAGATATGTCTAGTGTTCAATTATCCTGATGAATTGTCGCAGGTCAGTCGGACACACCGAAGACCTTCACCCTAACTTTCGTTGACAATTCGACGGAGGTAATACAGAGTGCGTCTCAGCCTCCGTTATGTTATGTTTTGACCGATTAAGCATTCGACATCAGTGTCTGCGAAAAGCTGGCAAAGGTGGCCAATCATAAACAGTGGGGTTATCAACACGTTAGTTTATTTCTTTACACTACCGACATTCTTCCATTGACGAGAGCTGTAGTCCGTACTCCTTCATCAACGGCACCTCAACGAAGAATACGAATACAACTTCCATATTTCAGTGGTCGGCATCAATACCTTCACGAAGTGCTCTTGAAAGTATCGTGCTTGCGCCAGATGATGTGCCCGGACTGCGCCTTCACGTCTTCGCCATCTCTGTCACGGCTTCTGCGACACTGTCTGACACTTCCGCCGGGCCTATCCTATCCGTTCGCCGAGCTCGGTCTTCCACACGCTGGGAACTCGTTAACAACACCCGTGCGCAGGCGATCCAGGTGACAGTGGCTAATCTATTACCCATCAGTGCATTTTCCACCAATACCTCCATCAATTCTCCATATACGATTGAAATAACGGGAGCCAGCGTTGAAACTGTTGTTCCCGGGAAGATTCGGCGTCTAATTGCGTCAGACCAAGTCAGTGCGGACGTGCTGGTTATCGCCAACAGCACGTCGAACGCGACGGTCTCTGTGAAAGATGAACAAGGGACATTAGTAGGGACATCAGACGGTTGGCCGCTCACGCCACTGCCCACAGAGTGGACAACGGACCCGGAACTACTGAGTACTCACGAGACACCTACTTGGGTATGTCTTTGGTCTGGATGACTAGTTCTCGCAGGCTCACTGTTCATTCTAAGTATAATCAAGCGAAGTACGGTATATTGTGAGTGCATTTAGATCACGATCTGCGATGTCACGATCAATTCTGTCCTTCCATAGCGTACACTGGGGAGTATATAGCGTTCCAGCATGGGTACGTCACACGTAACTCCTAGAGCTGAATTTTTGTTAATTTCAGTTCAGGCCCCGCCGACGACATATGCTGAATGGTACAAGTGCGTGCATATGTCAACTCATATCTTCCTGTGCTGAGGGTTGCTTCTAGCTGGAACTTGCACAATCCCGCGAACTCCAGTAACCCCTTCTGGGTACATCATCTGGATACTTACGGACCTGTGAGTCTTGTAAAGGCCATCACTTGACTGCATTTGTGCTGACAATATTGTGTCCCTCCAGGACGTGGTCTACGATGACTTCATCGCCAACTTTACAGCCAGCAAATTCAACGCTTCGGCATGGCTGGACCTCTTTGATAATGCAGGTGCCAAGTACTTCGTACTGGTATCGGTGAGTGTCTCGTGGGTAGACCGTGCGTACCTCATGAGAACCACTGTCGGGTGATAGAAGCATCACGATGGTTTTGCCCTCTTCGATACTGGCAACACTTCGGCTCGTAATAGTATCAACCTGGGGCCTCGACGAGATTTAGTCGCAGAACTCTTTGACGTCGCCAGTCAAGAGAAGCCGTGGATGCACAAGGGAACTTATTTTTCAATGCCGGAGTGGTAAGTGGCAATGATACGTATGCTTTGCGAGGTCTTCTGACAGTCTGGCCAAGGTTCAACCCTGACTATGCTCCATACGGCTTCGGCGAATGGCCGGGAGGACTAGCTCACAATGCCTTCTATCCTTCTGAGTTGGAGCCTTATACTGGACACACGAACATATCCGACTATCTGACAGATTTGCAATTGCCTCAGATGCTGACCCTGGCTGAGAAATACGGCACCGAGATCATGGCGAGTACAAGACTTCATGTTCCTGTTCGTACACTCATATGAACACTCAGTGGTGCGATATCGGCGGTCCGAACAAGACCCCGGAGTTTGCAGCGCAGTTCTATAACAACGCATTTGCGAAAGGTATCCAGGTGCTCATGAACGATCGTATGTGTCTCAGCCGATGCGACGCGCTTCCCACTCAAATGACACGCTTCGCCGCAGGATGTGGTGCTCTGCCAGAGCTCTACACACCCGAGTACCAGACCCTGGGAGCCATCCAGACACAAAAATGGGAGACCAATGAGGGCATGGATCCGTTCAGCTACGGCCTCAACACCAACACAAATGCCAGCCAGTACAAGAATGCGACGACAATAATTCAAACACTGGTAGATGTCGTCTCAAAGAACGGCAACTAGTAAGCGGATGCGTTGGTGGAGCACGCTTCGAGTATTCATCAGCTGTCAGTCTTTTGGATGTAGGCCCTACAGCGGAAGGCGAGATAATTGCACCGATGGCCGATAATCTCCTGGCTGCGGGACAGTGGCTGGCGAACTCCGGTGCTTGCGTCTATGATACGGTGAGTGTCGTCGCATATTCTAACGCAACTCGTGGGTTACCGACGTTGAAATACTGACTCTGCAATCCAGACCTACTGGTTCAAAGGCGCCCAAGACTCAGTCAATGGCACACTGCGCTTTCTGACCACGCCGGACACGTTCTGCATCGTATCCTTCGACAAGCCCTCACAGCAGCTCGCTGTACACGCGCAGATCCCCATATTGCCAGGCGACGAGATCGTGTACCTCGGCGATCCAAACGGTAATGAGACTTCACTTTCGTGGTCGGTAGATCCGGAGACGGGGTACCTAACAGTGGATTTGGGTGGCCTCTCGTTGGATCCTGCAGGTGGAGCGGAAGCGTGGGCTTTCCAGGTGAAATATAAGTCGTAGGGAAACGGATTGGTGACCTTGGTCGTGCATATGCAGTAACACCTAACCTTAACGTATTGTGGTCACAATTATTACCTTCCGCTTATCGGCTAGCCAATGATATTTGAGGCGATTTATCGACAACACGCACCTGGAGATTGTCCACTTTATACATACAAAGTTACAGTACGAGGCGTTGGCATGCCATGACCACGATACACGTATAAACAACTATCGAGTCTTGGATCTAGAGATACAGCGCATAATTTCTCCGAGTAGTGATAGATGCAGGTCTTCGCTGAATGTTGGCCCTCGGGGTGATCGAGGGATCAATGGATTGTGACCTACTCGACGATTCGACAGCGCCGATCATTCGCAGATTAAATGCAAATGAGTCCATTAAAGTAGGTAGCAACCGGGATCATCCATTCGAAGCTCCCGCTTTCCTGGACCTCTGAGCAATGGCAGTTGAGCAGTTGGTGAGTGTTGCGCGCCATTCAAGCCTCTGCAGAACAAAGCAGGGTCAAGATCATGATGAAGGCGAGGGCAAGAGGCGGGAATGTCGACTTCATAAACAGGGATATAAGCAGTGCAGCAGCCGAGACCTTCAGCCTTTGTCAGAAGCGATCATATAGAGCGACCGATGTGCGATCATCAGAGTATTGTTCCGCTGTAGATGCAAAAAGGGGCGGTGGCGTGAGATGACAAGGGCATGACACTTGCTTCCACGCAAGGACCAGCGGTTGTGACGGGGTGTGGGACGGCATGTGATGCTGGCTTATAAGCACAGAGTGAGCGTCGCCAAGGAGGGGAACAATAGGATGGGCACGAGGGACGTTTAAGTAGGCCTGAAGCGTTCTTCAAGAACCAGAAAATCTATTCATTCTGAAAGGCGATATGAGCGAGACGGGCAGAGTTTGAACGTACGTAGGGACTGTATTACGAGCGCTGCTCCGGGATCGTCAGAGGCATCGTGGTGTACTATGTGAGATTCAAGTGAAGGATCTCACCATATGTCAGATGCAGTCAGTTCCTTCAGACGCTTGTCTATCCCGCAGTTCATTGATGTCTGGCCCCGCTATCCCCACTGAGTGGGTCGGAGATTCAACTTGCAGCAGGAGCCTCACAGCAGCCCAAGGAGATCTAAACATGCAGTATCGACATCGTAGAGACAGGGCCCTACTGATATATCACTAACCGAGTCAGACCGGGTATAGACTTTCGGTTTAGTACCGGTGAATGGTGGGCATGATTCAGGACAAACCGAGAAGCGCGATGGTGGCGTACGATGAGAGCTGACCGCATTCCACTGTGAACTTGAGGTTTCCCGTCTTTTCCTTCCTGCGACGTCCACCGCAGTGGATATACCTGCCGGCTGATAGTTATTAAGCGTGCTCGTCGTCGTGCTCGTCCTCGAGGAGTCGTCTATCAATAGAGAGCATCAAGAAAGGCTCGGACATTACCGCGTTTATTTCCGTTTCGTGCTAAGTCTACGCGAGCTATACCTGTTTCGTCCGTCTCACTCTCCTCAGTCGACGTGCACGCTCTTGCTTTCCTCAGCTCTCTGGTCTTGGTGTCCTGGGATTCCTGGACGAACTGGAGTCAGAGGCAAAACTTTGCAGGCGCGTCCGGTGCGCGGTGGACGAAGACAAAAGCAATATCCATTGCTGTATATTTGTAGAAAAGGTGTAACGTTCCACGCTCGTTCTGTCTGGCGCGTCGCGAGCAGGAGACGATGCTGCGAAGAGGCGGACAGCCCTCTTCGAGCTCTCTGAACCCCCAGGACCCCGCTACGCCGACCTCGACAACTTCACCCTCCTTGCACGTCTTCCCTCGTTCGACTTCACCTGGTATTGCAACTTTCTTCTCCAAGCCATCGAAATGGTTCGCTCGCACGCCGGCCCATGGCCGCCAGGCTCCTACAGGAGCTGAGCCGAGGGCCAGTACGAGCTCTACCGGTCGCAAACCCAAGATATCCCATCCCACTGATCCCAGGCCTATTCTACCGAGTCTGAAGTCTGATCCCTATATCACTGCTACCAGGTGAGTATCGTATACTCCATAAGCTCATCATGCTCGGCCTCTGGGAAGGGAGGGGGACGGATTGACTTGACTATATGCTAAACGTCACCTGCAGATCCGTTCTTGACTTATCACTGCAACGCACGGACACAAGCTTCGACGCCTCTCCGTCCTTCTCTAACCCCGGCTCCCCGCTTTCTCCCAGCGGTAGCACAGGACTGGGTGACTTGCGCAACATCTCTCGCAAAGCCTGGTCCCGATCCGCTGATGACCTCGGGAAATTCTCTGCTTCCGAGGACCCTGCATTTCACGCCAAAGTAGAACAGTATCGTAACCGCAGTGCAAGCAACAGCAGTAGTCTCGCTCCCTCGCTCCAGTCACAGCATCCCTTTCCGACTACGAACATCACACCCCTCTCGTCGTCGCCCCCCCAAAGCGTGCTCGCGTCGTCACCAGTGCCGAGCAACTCTTCGCCCTCCCTTTCCCCAGGCGGGCCTGGACATGTGCATTCCCGCTCGCAGTCCTTCACGCCGCGCATGCCCTCGAAGCTGACCGCCCCCAAGCTCGCGTTCGGGCCGTCCAGTCCGAGCAGGAAAGGCTCCGCGTCATCTGAGCGAGAGATCGACGCTCTCAATCAGAGAGAGAAGGACCGACATGGTCCTTCTGTCCAGGGGCGGGGCGCATTCCCCTTCCACTTCGGCCCGGGTGCCTCTAGCAAGGTCAACCTGGCTTCGCAGCCATCCTCCAGCCACAACCAGAAGGACCCATCCTCCCCACTCCTTGCTCCTCCCGCCATCATCGAGCCTGAGCAGGAAGCGGAGAGCAGCGACCGGTCTAAACGGATGTCGCAGATCATCCATCACTCGGGCTTTGTGAACTACCACGCCGACTTTTCCTTGGCAGATTGCCACAACGGTAGCCTCAACCTCAGCAAGGGATGGAAGCCCTACAAACTCGTGCTGAAGGGGACTAAGCTGTACTTCTACAAACCACCCAGTGACAAGATTGCGGCGGTGAAGGAGCTGTTCCCGACATCCCTTGTGCCTGCGCTTGAAGAGGCTCTTGATCAGGAAGAGCTGGAGGCGCCAGTTGTCAAGGAAAAGGAGGAGGTTAGGGATACGAGGAAGAAAAGGGCTTTCTGGGGCCGAAGGACTCACCCCGAGCTCGTGTTCGAGGGCAAAGTTGTTACGAGTGGCACAATGGAGGCCCTCGTGCATGAAGCTGTTTTTGGCACGGTCACTATGAGCCAGTCGCCGGGCGGAGAGACCCACGCGGACACCACGACGACACGGAACAACGCATCTTGGCACAGTTTCGCTTCCTCCGTATTGCTATGTCTCCCGGCCCTCGCTGGACGAAGCAAAGTAGAGACCGAATTAATCCGCTGCTGCAGCTATCTCGTCAGCGGGGCTCCTGACGACACGAAGGACGCACTCCGTGCCAGGGTGGCCTGGATTGCCGGCGAGTACCTGCGGTATCATGGAACACCAGTCAATCGGGAGAATTGGGAGGAATATAGAAAAGATACAATCCCGGATTTTCCAGCTGATGCGGCGTTCGTCGGGGAAGTCACATCTCTCCCCTCGTCTTCGTCTCTCCAAGGGCTTTATGTGCCGTCGCCTCGTCCAGAGGATGCTCAATGGGGCACGTTCTCCCCCAGCTTAGGCGTATTCTCTCCTAGACTTGGTCAGACTGATAAGATGGTCTCCCTTCTGGATGCCCTGAATTTGCGCGAGCCAGCTTCGATGACCGGTCCCTCTAATTCTCACAGCGAGCGGGAGAATACGCCAGGCCCCTCTGCGACCGGCCCTGTTTGGGCTGCACTTGAGCGCGAGGGGCTTACGAGAGAAAACCTGCTTAGGCTCGACCCGCATTTGGTCGCCCTCAGTTTATCGGTCTACCATAGGCGGGCTTTGGAGCTTGCACCGGTCAACCTGACGTTCGCGCAATGTGTCCACAACAACGACGACCTCAATCCAGAGAAGGCGGCGTCCGAGGCAAATACATCATCATTCCACGCCTTCTTTGGGAGCGACGATAATCTCCACTGGCTCACTAAGCTGATTCTTAATCAGATTCTCGGCGCTGACCGCTCGTCGCGCGTGTACCCTGCCCCCGCGCCTACCCTCTCTGGTGGTCGATCATCGGAAGACAGGGCGGGACAGACATCTCGTACTCATTCTCGATCAGAGGTGATTTCTACGTGGGCCAAGATCGCAGAAGTGTGCCGCATGTCGGGAGATGAATCTTCCTGGCAGGCTATCAAGGCGGCGCTGTGCTCGCGCCCAGTAGCGCGCCTGGAGAAGGCGTGGAAGAGGGTAGATGCCCAGGCTCAAGCCGCTGTGGAGTCATGGGTTTACCCCGATAGCGATGGGAACGTCGCTACCGTCAAAGAACCCAAGACGACTCCCTGGGGTGGTGATGCGAGGGAAAAGATCAAGGCGTCCCTCTCCAAGGCTTCCATACCCGACAGGGAAGACGAGTGGCTGATCGCCCCCTTGCAGAGAGTAAGGGGCGACTTCGAGGACCTTCGCAATACGTTCTCGCTTTGTTTCAGAAGATCCGAGTTGACGGATACGTCAGACGTGGACGCAAAGAAATTGGTCGAAATGTGGCAGGAATACGTTCTGGATGGATCCACTGCTGCGAAATTCAGCCGGTACGTACACAATTAGATGAAGCTCCGCTTGATCTGAACGACCTTTCGCATTCAGTGTAGACCAGTTCATGTCGTTGTCACTAGCTGCTGAACCTCGGCGAAAAGGCTTGTTTGAGCCGCACTTCTGGACAAAGACACCGCCTTCTGCAATGCCAACGTCACACCCCCTCGTCCCGCTTTTGCTTGTCGAACCACTCCCGACAGTCACATTCATTGACAGGTCGCAGTTACTTCGAAATCGAGTCGATAGTGGTCCTACTAGTCTCGTGATTGAGGACAATCAGTTTGCTATGTTAATGCGTTCGGATCATCGACTGGGACGCCGAGATTCCGACCGCATTGCTAACAAAGGACTAAACAATGTGAGCGGACGCGACCTGGGTGGTACTGTCATTCCTGTCTTCGATGGCGAACTGCTGCTAGTTGTTCAACCGTGGAATCCCGACTCAAGGGCGCCGTCGAGGTCGTCATCTCGAGCACGTTCACGCCCGCCTAGTTCCGCTGACCCTGGCTCTCCGGAGAAACCGGTTAGCCGTGCACCCTCCATTCGAGTGAAACCTGGTGCATCGCAAGGGTTGGATCGCAAGCCTAGCGTAGCACGCCGTAGTTCTCTCCCGGCCATCTCACAGCGGCCCAATCATGTAGTCACTGAGCCGTCATCCGAGCGGCCTCTACGGGTAGTCGTGAAAGCTGGTACCCTAGATCGGCTGGTTGATGTGCTTGTACATGGTCTGCTGGGGGTATCTGTATCGGTCGCAGATGACAATGGTGAGATGCCTCTCAATCAGCGTCGGACGCGAGAGCTCCGCGTGGATCGCGCGGAATTCGTGGACGTCTGGTGGAACGCTTTCCGCAGCTTTATGACCCCATTAGTATTTTTCGAAGTAAGTCGAACTGTTCTTTACCGGGAGAACACCATCTAACCCTCTGAAGCTCCTCTGCAAGCGATACAATGCTGCTCACCCGAAACCTGAGTATGAATCTACACACTGTATCCGCACAGTTGAGACGAGAATCGCAGTACTCGATACCCTGAGAGAATGGCTCGAAATAGGCGGAGGAGCCCAGGACTGCTTAGATGATCCCCAACTTTTCGCAGCGGCGCAGGCCTTCCTGGATCGCAATGACCTGTGTCCTTCGGATTCATCGATGGAAGACCAGGGTGCACGGCAAATTTTGGAGATTCTAAGTACTGACTTGAGGAGCCTCCGTCAGTCCTTCTACGCTCAGACCCAGAAACCCAAGGCCAGGACAGTGGTCTCGGGAGAGATCAGCACCAAACAAAGTAGATATGACTATGGTAGGGAAGCACCTGATGTGGACAGCATAAGCCCCGAGGAGTTAGTCGGCAACCTCGATGCAATGGCGACAGCTGTGTGCAGCAACGTCACGGAGGAGGTAGTTTTTATATCTTTGGCTCCGTTTCCGGAATGCTCACAACGAAAATGTAGGATTTGTTTGTAACGGCCGACTTGTTTGAAGTCCAGATGGCGGATCGAGTAGCCTGGTTCTTGCCGCCACAATTCACTCAATCGAGTGAAGAAGTCGACATTCATACGATTTATTCGCACGTTCTCAATTGCGAACCGTCACCCCTCATCGCAGAGCTGACGCACGACACGATCTATCGGCTTCTACCTCCCAGTATCAGAAGTTGCATCCGTGCTTTCACGATACTGCATAAATGGCTTGTATCGAAACTTGTGGCGCCTAAAGTTGGGTCCCGTGTCCGACAAGCGCGCATGAATCTATATCTGCAAGCACTCGAGCTATGCAGGTTAAGAAACTCAGATGCTACATCGAGCCGAAACCCCGCTGACTGTCCTTGCGTCCGATCCTTCGTCGAAAGTACCGTCGTATCGGCAATCCTTAGCGTGGAGAGCCGCCTGCATCACAGTTCTTGGTATAATGTTGCCGCAGCTAGGGGCACGGGCTGCGAATCAATCTCCGCTCTCCTTAGCAAGCCCCAGGTGCGATCGGTGGAAAATAAGGAAAGTCTTACTGTGGATATGGGTTGGGTCTTGGAACGTATGCTGGAAGTCATGAGCGTCTCTGACACGTTGAGCTCTGCCGACAATGAAAGCCAGACCTTAGTGAATTACGAGAAAAGACGGTATGTTCGAGTCGCAATGTGCTGTGTCGCATCCCACTTATCTGTGCATCAGGTATTTACGCTCCATCATAGTCAACACTGTCTCGGAGTCTGGGCCACGTCGTAACCGAAAGCGCCGAGAGGTTGACCGACGTGATTTCGACCGCTTAAACAATATAGAAAAGGAGGTTAACCATGTTGACTTTGACTATCGAGCGATCAAGGAAGAGGCGTACCGAGAGTCTATGCAAGCGAACAATGGCTTGGCTGGTCCTAGGAAGGGTCATAGACCGTTCCACAAACACGTTGTGGCGCAGCAGGAAAAGAACAAGAGGGACAAGTATCTACGAGACCGACTCAGCCGGGAAAAGAAGCTAGAGCAGCAGCGGATGGATCGTCGTGAGGATTACCTCAACAAAGCTATGCATGTTCGAAGGCCTGTTGCGACAGGACAGAAGCAACATAGAAATAAGAAAAGCATGTCCACTGCTTTCTTCCAGTTTATGAGGCCCATATCCAGTGCATTCTTGTCGGAAACTCCCGCGGGCGTAGGCGTGAAGCGGACTGCAGAAGAGCTAGACTTCATTCCGGGCAACAAACCCTCGTTTACGCTCAGTGCTGCCGATGCTGGAGTGGCACCGTTTATCAACAACGAGCGCTCGTATCTGTTCCGGCTCGACACCGAAGACGGCGGTCATTACCTTCTTCAAGCAATAAACAAACAAGCCCTGAAGAAGTGGATTGACACCATTGGCAGAGTGTCTAAGACTGCAGCCCAGAGGCGACTTACATACCTAGGGCCGCCTCAATCCGAGCTCTCGGACCATATGGCCTCTGGTTCGACTTTGCATTCCAGAGACCCCAGAGCTGGTGAGTACGGGTTCCTTGCTTCTCCGCTACCGCTAAGAGATTCCCTAGTCTTCGGCGTCGATCTTGAAGTGTTGGTGCACAGAGATAAGTCGAATGATGATAAAAAGCCAGTTGCCGTTCCAGTCTTCCTCGAACGGTGCCTCTCGGAGATCGAGAATCGTGGCCTCACGGAATCAGGGATATGTGAGCATTTTTCATAAACATTTGAGGTTTGTTCTGACAGTTGGACATAAGATCGAGTAGCAGGTGCCAGCTCCGATATTCAGATGCTTAAGAGCGCGATCAACCAAGGTCGGCGCGGTTCTCCGGTCGGGTTCAATCCGAGTCTTACGTGGTTTGAAAGGCGAATGGCCCGTTACGCCGTTAACTGATATTTATGCTGTCTGTGATCTGGTCAAACACTGGCTTCGTGATCTTCCCAGACCTATATTGCCTTCGTCTTCCTATCTTGAAATTCTTGCTGCTGCGAGTGAGTTCCTTCATGAATAACCGATCTGCAGGGATTTACTTGTGCATTAGAACTCGACGATCTCGATTCGAAGCTAGTCCGGCTTAGGGACATCGTGCAAGCCCTTCCTTCTGCCAATTTTGAAGTACTGAAGCGCGTAGCTGAACATCTGGACAGGTGGGTCTATTTCAATACTCGCGAGCTTCGTGCTGACCTTAATCATCCAGAGTCACTGACTATGAAGATCAAAACCACATGACGGCCAAGAACTTGGCCATCGTCTTCAGCCCTAGTCTCCTACGCGCTCCGGATGGCAATTTCATGGCTTTCATGAGTAATCTAGGACACCTTCATGAGTTCGTGAAGGTCCTTATAGGCCATGTAAGTAACAGTCATGATGTCGAACATGAACACTCATTGAACCATCCCACCCAGTTCCATGTGATCTTCGATGAGGATCAGGAGGTCGAGCTAGATCCGGACGATGACGAATTTGACGAACCCATCTTAGAAGAAGACGAGGAAGACCTGGCTCCTTCTCCGTCCCCTTCCCCCTCCCCCGAGCCCGATACCGGTTCCGGTGATTCCCCAGATGTACATGATACCCCGCTGCAAGGACTTTCATAGCCGCTGTACTACATCCAGCACGCATTCCTTCCCTTGCGTTATTGATATCTCATGGGCCACGGACTGTTTACCCCCTTGCAAGTTACCCCAGGCTTGAATCGTATATCACTCATAGACGGACTCCTGTCTTATAATCTGCATCGCCATTTACTTCATACGTGTTTCAGTAGTGTTCCCTTTAACCGCCGTCCTGTCAGGGGTAGGGATGATAATTAGGGATAATGTGTAACACGCTTGACTCCACCAGTGAACTCGCTGGATGTGACAACAAAAAATCCAGTATAAATTCGCGAAGCCCAGTATAACGATTATCTAGCTTTGGACGAAATAGAACCTTTAGCAGGACCATCCCCAAGTTGCTTCCACCACTGCGTCGAACCTTTCTTCTTTCCAGCAGAGGAGTGAGACCTTTCTTCAACTCCCTCTTCAGTTTTATGGTTCCACGACCTCTTCACGACAACCGACAATCCCGAGCTGATGCCTTTTCTGCCTCCTCCGGGGAACTCAGTTGTCGGATCAGATTCTTGCCCGTCAACACTGTCGTGTTTCCGTTTCTTTGAATTTCCCTTCGAGATCGCGCCCAAAAGCTCTGGAAGCGGCATCCTCTTGCCTCGTTCCCATTCTTTGCGGTGTAGTCGATAGAGCGCCATCGTTGCTCGGGCATCCGTGACCTATTAGCCTTGTCAATCGAACGCGCCGCGGGACAGCAGCACAGGTACTCACACTCGAGTGTTCTCCACTCTGGATTGTCATTCCTAGCTCTTGCTGGACTAGGTTCCGAAGAGCGGGATAGCGACTGCGGGTAAGCTTGTGCTTGCCAGCCAAATGCTGGGTATCTCGCGTTTGGGGGCGCGGGTGTGATAACAGCAAGGCCTGATACACATTTAGCGGTCGCATACAGCCAGGATACGGATCACGTACTTTCAAGTCGTTGAAGACCGCATGCCCAACTAATATTCGATCCTTCAACAGCTCCGCCACTTTCGCCTGCACCTCGTTGAAAGGTTTTGCTACACGGACTTAGACGCAACTCGCAGTATTCAGACACAGAGAGAGCACGTACCGTTCACCATGTCTGCGGGCCGGATGCCGCTGTACTGCGTTCGGTAGTCGACTACTCGTTCCCGTTGCCGCACAAACTCGTCCAACTGCACGGCTCCGTAGTAATTGACCAAGCTGACCCTAGCAAGGGACGACTCTGCACCGTCTATACCGACGCCCACCATTTCACAGTCCAGAGCCAGGTACTTCCCGGGTCTGTATGCTGTTACTCAGGGGATGAGTGATTGATACGATAGCCTTCATTGACTCACGCTTGCTGAGCCGTGGTATACTCCAGCTCCCCTAGTATCATCTGCCGAAGCCAGGGCAGTGACTCGCCATTTTTGCTTGCAGGTAAATCTGCCGCAGACGGACTGACGAACGCGGAAGCCTTGGAGGACGACGCGTGCTTGAATTCCGCGGAATCGACAGAGCTGACCGTGGCCACGGACGTCTGGCGCTCGCTTCTTTGCCGTTTCCGAGGTCTATCGTCTCCACTTTGTGATTTCGACGATTTCGTAGAGGAAATGGAAGCCTTCTGAGACAGTGTATTAGGATATATGCTGGTACATTAGTTGAAGACGAGACATAAGAGGCCAATGAATGCAGTACGATACTATACCTTCTTCAACGCTAACCAGTTACCAGAGGGTTTCGCCTGCGCTCGAGAGTGGGTCATCGTACAATAGCCCGTGTATTCGATTCGCCTTGCCCAGCGTTCAGTCCTCTGTTGCATAAAGTGGTACAGACACCCGGATGACACCAAAACCGAGCCTAACTAGGCTTGTGACAATGTACGTAGTCACAAGCCTAGTTAGCCTTGAAAACCTTATTCTGGTACCCCACCGGACCTCCCCCCTAGGTACCCCACCTGTACGCTCTGACTTGAAGGCTCGGGGGGTAGGGCTGCTGTAGTACACTTCACCGCCTACAGTAGTATAATAAGGCTTGGGCATCTCTGCTTCCTCCGTCCTCAACTCCTGTCCTCGCTGTCTCCGCCGTCGACGACCGCCTGGCCAGGAGTCTAGTAACAGACCCCAACCCTAGGCATACCATCACGTGTCGTACATGGCATCACCGCTCCGTCCGCCGACGACGAGCACGACTAAGTATACCACTTGTATGTAGCGGTAAAATTCTGCAATAAATCTTTTTTAATACAGTGCCCCTCCTTTGAGAGGGGTTATGCCAAACCCGCAATACGTCGCACTTTTCGACCAACCGGCAAGGACCGGCGTGCCATGTTTGGCTCCAGTGGCACACGGCTACACAGTGCGGACTTAGAATTATCTCGCGTCCCTTGCAGCTAGACTCCGGTCCATGCATAGACTTACATATTGAAGTAAACAATCAGTACTAAATTCCATCTCAATTCACCGTAGCAGCTACATGCTGTGAACTGCACTCCACAGCAGCTACAGGCTGTGAACTTTGCACACCAAATCAAGGAGGAGCTAAATATCTCTTGTATACGTCAAAGATTCGAAATAATTACTTTAAATTATATCCATTGGGACATGCATCCTGCGCTTTCCGGGAGACGTCCCGCAGGATGGCAATAAGTGTTCAGCTGGCCAGGCAAACCACCTCTCTCTGGCTGCATTTGTGCAAGCACCTATGCGATAATTAATCCATCCCATCCCGCAAAGGAGTAACTTGAAGATGCCGGCGCCAGACGGAGCTTCCCGAGTAAACTTGTGTGACCGATTCAAAATGTCTGCGCTGTCATTGCGGGACCGCTATCGCCGTCCTAAACATTGTGCTCACTGTTCTCGGCGTCGGCCGCACCTGCATCCGCACTGAGCCGTAGGTTCCACAAAGAGTGCAGATGTATCTGGATATAGTTTCGGATATTCAGAGCCCGAGTATAGGCAAATTTGACGCCTATTAGTGTGCACCGGTGTGATCTGTTCCAAAGCCCTCTTGACCGCCGTCCACGCTTCATTCGCGGTATCGCTGCCAAATCGACTGTGTTCTCCGCTGAACGTGGATACAACTACCTTCCCATTGTTGCGCAACTGGTTCGGATGGTATGCCACAGCCTTTACGTATTCAAGAAGCACTTCAATTTCTTCTACTGACTCTGATGGGATAGACCTGGATACCAGAAGATCGTCAATTAACTTTGTACTCGGCCTTCCCTGACACTCCTGAGGCTTCACGTCATATAAAAGCTGATGAACAGCTTGGAGGGCAAGCCGCTTTCTTCTGCTGCTTGGTAGCATTGCAAGGCACGGTCCCTTTGCCAGTCCTCGCGGCCCACGTTGAGAGCAAAGCCGTCTCTATCCCAGTACGTGGGGTAAGCACCGCTCCGCAGGACCAAGGATGACGCGCTTACAGAGCGTGCCTATGGGCGAGTCTGATATCGTCAAGCCAGTCGTGAACGGTATACGGCTAGCCCATGTAGTGTGTATGAAGGTCGAATGGATCGTGACATTTATTTATGTAAGCAGTGAGACGTTGTTTTCACTCACATACTTAGGTATTTCCAACCATGAAGCTGTGAAGTGGTCGATAATCGATGAAGACTGCTTAAGGAAGATCTACTAACTGAGCTACCACGCCTTTGTTTCCCTTCTGCAATACAGAATGCATAGGCGTCATTTCCTCGGTATTAGGCGAGCAGTGCGACGACGGTGGGGGCGTGGACTTGTGGGTCCGTAATTATGTCTGTTCAATTTGGTGAAGTAAGTCCTGACCAATCAGAAACGTTGTAACTTACCAGTCACGAACTACAATGAGTCACGTGAGTATATCACGCGACTGTGACACGTTTCCCAATATTATATCACAGACTCGCGTGAGCTTCACTGGCCACTATGTCGTTTGCGCAACCTCTCGCGACGCCTGTTCAGGTTCATTTAGTAGGGTGCTCGGGAGACTGGGGGCGATTCTCGCCTGACATTGCCGCTGTGCTTCTCGGGCTTGATACTCATCCAGTTCAGACTCAGGATATAATTCTTCGCGAGGTGAGTTCGACCGCTACGTATTCTGTCGTTCTCTGTAATCGCTAACTTCGAAAACAGTTATCACTAGATAAGCGGGAAACGCTTATGCGCACTGCGTGGAAGGTTTTCGAGCGCCTGCTTCTCCTTCTCGAGGCTGAGCACTGTGCGCCCCAATTGGGAAAAGACCCTCGAACTGCGATCGTCGGTCCGTTCGCTACAGAGGCTCTTCGCGAAATCTTGCCAGGGTCACATATGCAGTCAGTGCTTTGAAAGTCTCATGATCGCACAGCTGATTATCTGGCAGTTTTGAATCTTCCTACGCACGAGCCGTGTATCCCTGTGAGTCGTACATCTCTTCTCCCGCAAGCCTTTTTCCGCACCATGGTCGCGCCACCTTCCTGACAACCCCGGTCTCATTGACCGGCAGTTCGTCCTTGGTACAAGATATGCCCACCCGAGGTGTGACTACCCAAGAAGAACACGAGGAAGGAACAAGGCAGTGCTATCGGTCTTCTGAAATGCATGAATTGGACAAGCAAAGCATTAGCGTCACCGGGGAGTTCTCCGGCGCCATTCATAATCCGTTCTCTGACCTCACCATTGCATCCGACGACGAGCGCCAACATTTCGGTGCTGCGCACCTGCTTTTACCGTGTCCCCCGCATGATCAAGTATTATTCACGCTGGTCTGTGTTGCGGAAGAGGCCGAGATCTACAGTGCCATGTGCAGCGCGCTCATGCAGCGTGACCTCTTTGGTATTCGCGATGTGCTCGTCGGATTTGCATTCTCCCCCGATGAGTGTACGCTTCAGCTGGTTCTTGGATGGCTGGAAGATGACATCTCGCATTCATGCGTGAGTTACCTGCCTTTCTCTCCTGGATGATGCTGCTATTTTGAGCACAGCTTCAGGTTCATGTAGCCCACGCTGATCCCACAATCTACCGAGCGGTGCACGGCCTCGGCGTATTCGACCTATCTGACAGGCATTCGGCTTGGGTGCATGCACTATTTCTCGCCACTCTTCGCCAGGCGCTAACCGCATCCGCTTGCGCCGCGCGGACTCATGCCCCGGAGACATATCGGCGCTTATCGAAGGGGGACAACAGGTCCTGGCGCATAGATCTCATCACGGAGGGTGGACACGTTGAGGGGTGCGATACGGATCCTCATCAGCGTGTGATGCACTGGCTCGCAAACTGCATGTGAGTGCCACTCACACCTTCCGTGCCTCAGAGAAATAACGTCCACAGGATTGCGGAAGGTTCGGACACTTTGCCACATCCCATCTTCGACATGCAGCCGGGGCCTCTGTCAGTCACTCTCATCTATCCTATCTTATGTATTGCTCATATCCGGTTCCAGGATGAGAAGCAGGAGTCGCTCCTCGCAGAGAGGGTGAGCCATTCTCCGACTTGCTTGCTTCATGACTCACGTAGTGTAAGGAGAACCACAGGAAGGCATGTCTGACGATAATCAAGTTAATAACGATCAGCTATTGACATACGCATAGCCAGGTGCCTTCTTCTTCGTTGCAGTACGTCGTTTTCCATTTTATTTTGTCTTTTCCTTGCACGTGGCAGATAGTCTGACCTGTGCTCCAGTTCGGTTCCCGAAGGTGTGGCCATCGACTCTTGGGCAAACAAGTCTTTGCAAGATCGGTATAATGAGCTCCTAAAACAGCAACTTGCGTACGTGCCTTTTGTCTCTTATGGTGCTTGGCTCTCATGTCTGCTCAGTGAAACACCCATTACTGCGTGCGTACTAGGCATGCAGTACGACCCTTGTCGGACCCTCTGACTGTTTGGCATTCAGCTATGCTCGAGCGAAGAGTGTCGTGAGTGCCTCCAGGCCAGTTTGCGTCCTGCCTTAGCGAAGTCCTTTCCCTGATATGTTAACAGCCCTGCCAAGGATAGTCGAGATGTTACGTGTGATCGTCCAACAGAGATTTATGTGGACCGCTGTATCGCATCTGCTGCGTTCCCGCCCGTGTATCAATCTGTGTACCTTATCCCCCAGGTCTTGTATAACGTCATACAGAAGGTTCTCCTTCCCAGATTATGCCCTGTGCATGTACGTCTAGGATCATCTGTGTTGACACTGCTGACCTTTGCTGCAGCCGCTCCCGTCCGTGAGCTTGACCTCGGCGGAGAAGATAATCCGAAACTACGACCACGAGAGAAAATGCCTCATATACGACACTAAAGAAACTGGAGAATTTCGCATGCTCAACGTGAGTTCCTGACCCAGATTTGCTCATGTATGCTGATATTGACGTGTGATCTCCTATCAGGCAGAGCATACGCATGTCTGGTACCGATATCATAGCGAACTGGCCCTTCAGCAAGTGCTCCGGGCATATTGTGCATTTGATCTCCTGCTCCCCATCGATGACGACCAGTCGGCAATCGCTCGAAGACTTCTCATGGCACGACTACCCAATACATTGTATCAGTCGGAACAGATGTCGAGTGGCGCGGGACTATGGCCTGATTCGAACGAAATGGAGTGTAGGCAACAATGGGACGGTATCATTAGTAGTTATCTGAGCGGACGGGCCCCAGTTCCTATCACTGCTGAGGCAGAGTTGGGTTATCACATGCACAGTCGGCAAGTGTTGGTTCATCCTGTGGAAGTTTCCTGACTTCAACTTGGTTACTATAGCCTGGAACGGCGCACCCCGCTTTCTCGAAACACTCTGTTCGATGTGATCTGCAGCGAACGGGACAACAAGGAAGACGGATCCGACCTTGAGCACGACCATTACTTTGCTTTCGCCAGTGTATACGCCAGCACCAAATCTTACTTGTTGACCAAATACAGTTTTCCCTCTCCGTCTTCAATGAAAATCCTGTCAGGTGACAAATTGATCAGTGACCTGGTGGATGACTTTTCTTCCTCGATGCAGGATTTTTGTGCTCGCGCGGATCGGAATTTCAAGCAGGAGCGAAACTGGCGGACAACTGGGATGTCTATGTATGTCAACCACTCAGCTAAACTGGAAGCGCTTTATGCGCGTACGCTGCAGCACGAGTTTGACTATGCCATCTGCGATGGTATCGTATTTGCCGAAATCCCGAATGTCTTCGAGGATGTGGACCACCATCTCAAGGATCTGATACTCAGTTCCTGGATTGTGGGCACCTTCAAGCCACGTAGCTCAAAGCATGATCCGACGGAAGACTTGAAAGAAGAGGATGCCATTGATATCACATCGCGAGAGGATGAACCATTGCGGGATTCCGCGCCGCTACTAGCTCAAGAGATTCGCCGGTTCACGCGTGCAATGCAGCCTGCGGCATTATTGGCCGATGGTTCGTTTACATTATGTTGTCTTATTTCAAGGAATTAAATGTGTCCTCAACAGGCGAGATTCCCCAAGGTGCCACCACTGACTCACCATCTGATGCTCAGGCTGGGCAAGTGCCCTTGGCAAACGCCAGCCTTTCAATGGCTGTCAGTGCCCCGTCTCAGAAGACGCCCAGCCTGACACCTACTGATGCAGTCTCCGGTCCGAAAATGGACCATGCGGCTAGTGGCTCACCCCAAGCCGGGGAGTGGAAGTGTAGGTTTCAATGTGTATCACTGTGAAGCTCTACTGACACCGCGCGCAGCCGTCTATTTACCAATCTTGTACTGCGAGTACAAACACGGTCGCATTCATCCGCTTCAGGGATTGAATCAAGCACGGGTCTACGTCTCTTCCGGCACCAAATATTATGAGACGATGGGCATGTTTGATGTGCCAGTCTTCGCCATCGCCACCGTCGGGACGAAGGGCAGGCTCCTATGTGGTTGGGCTGAACAAGTCCCAGCGCCGGACCCAACGCGGGAGGAGGATATAATGAAAGACCCTGTATGTGCTCCCGTTCCTTGGTGGCGTAGTCGATTATTGACTCCCTCCTGAACAGGCTATTAAAGTTATTCACCGTATTGCGGACACAAACTGCCCTGAATGGGACCTTCGGAGCAGCTCGGACGCCATTGATTTCGCGTCTTTCCTCACGCTGCTCCGCACCAGACATATACCAGATGTTGTGCGCATTTTTAACCAGAAGAGGGCCGAGTACCTGGAGGCGTGGCGTGACGAGTCCAAGCGGGAGCGCTTTTGGTGGACCATGAAACACCAGCGCAAGAGCCAGGCATACGCCGACGCACAGAAGAGGTTGAAGAATGAGGACACGAAACGCTACGAGCAACTACAAGATGAGATGCGTGCTATTCTTGAAGAGAATAGGAAGCTGAGGGACGCCCAGGTGCAGCGGATGGCAGAGCGAGACCAGAAGGAGGCTGATGATGCAGAGTGGCAACGCCGGCGAGATGAGCAGAGAGCAGAGAGAAATGCAAGGGCTGAGAGGCGTAGTCAATCGAGAGAGGAGTAGCCGAGGCTAGAGTGATCACTAGTACTTATGA